ACAATGTATTGGGATATTAGAGGACAATGTCTTGAGATAGTAGAGGACAATGTCTTGGGATATTAGAGCACAAAGTCTTGAGATATTAGAGGACAAAGTCTTGGGATATTAGAGGACAATGTCTTGGGATACTAGAGGGTAGTGTCTTTTGGTATTAAAGCACAATGTTTTTAGATACTAGAGGATGGTGTCTTGTGATATTGTGTGAGGCACATCTAATTTTTCTTGTTTCTTTTCTGCCTTATGTTTCCTCCTCTTCCTGTTTTTTTTCATGTGAAGGTTCTCGAGCTTCCGAGTCCACCACGCGCAGCCAACGTGGTGCGGGACTGCATCAAGGCCTGCCTGAACTCCACCTATGAGTACATCTTCAATAACTGTCAGCAACTCTTCAACCACCAGTTCCAATCTGCGGGCCAGGCGGTGAGCGTCAGAAAGTTGTTCAGAGTTCCATCCCTCATTTCTGATTTGGATCTGGTTGGAAATTTAAAAATGAATAAAAGCATCAGTTCTCAACGCAGTTTCCCCTTAACAACTTTCACTGCATGAAGATGTTGTCAAATGACTTTCTATGTTTTAGTTCAAGTAAAAAAGTGCTATGTGTTGTCATCATTCTATGTTTCCATACAATGGCGAAACTGGTTCTCTGTATTTAACCCATCGCACCTGAGATACACCCAGGTGGAGCAGTGAGCAGCTAAGTAAGCGCCCGGGGAGCAATTAGGGATTAAGTGTCTTGCTAAGAGACACCACGACATGTGGGAATGGCTGTGGATTGAACCTGGGACTTTCGGGTCCCAAGTCGGCTGCCCTACCTCTACCCCGTCTTGGCCCCTAGTGGTGGTCAACTAAAACTTATCCAAGTCCACCTGAAAAAGTTACACAAAGACAAAGATGCAAACGTTTAAAATCTCTTGCTAGTTTTTTTTCACTCACCTTCAGTGTTTTTTCATTCAACATTTATTTAAACAGGTTAGTCTAATTTAGCCCTGAGGACTCATTTACAAGTGAGACCTGTTTTTAAGAAAGAGTGATGACAACAAAAGACTGTCATAAAAGAAAGAATATAAATTGAAAAAATAAAGAAAGAAAATTATATTTAAAAAAAACAGCTAGATTATAAAGGTGAATGTAGAAAACTAAAAACAGGAACATCTGCAGGAACTTCACAGATGTTTGAAGCCACTTAGAGAGGTCAAGGTCGAGACCTTCAGGTCTTTTTACAAGATGTTCCAGGAAACAGGAGCGGAGTAGGAGAAGGTCCTTTTGTCTAGTTCAGTCCTCACTGAGGGAACACTGCAGGTAATGATGTCCTGAGAGCGCACGCTGTAGCTGCACTCACACAGAGACATGTAGGAGGAGATGTATGAAGGCAGCAGACCAGGAAGTGATTTAAAGATGAAGATGTACCAGTGGGAGAGTCTGTGTGAAGTTAATGGTGACCAGTTAACCAGTGAATACTGGGTGCAGTGGTGGGTACGATAGTTACAGCCAGTTATGAATCTTAGTGCACCATGATAGACAGCATCCAACATCTGCAGCATCCAACATCTGCAGCATCCAACATCTGCAGGGTTCTTGTAGGAGCGTTCATGTAAATAATGTCACCGTGATCAATGGAGGGAAGGAAAGTCACAGATACAAGGTGTTTCCTAACATTCAGGGTTAGACAGGATCGGAGTTTGGAGTCAGACAGTGTTGCCATAAAAACAATAACTATTGTGTTTATTCCATATAAACATAATAGTTATTGTTTTTATTAATATGCATGTTGTATTTACTGAATGGAATAAGGTCCATAAAATATACTGTATAATTAATGGTTTAACGCCCCGCCTTCCTATGAGCGTGTTTACCAATCACAACACCCTCACCCCCTCCCCCACTCCAAAACTCCTGGTTGGCTGAGAGAGTGCATCCTCACTCGAATATTATGACAGTTTGGGTCAAAATAGACTCATTTTAAAGCAGCAAGATGAGAATTGATCATTTTCTACCTGACAACCCAGCCATCCATCCATCATCTTTACCAGCTTCTTCCTTTTTGGGTTGCGGGCATCACTGGTGCCCATATCCAGCAGTCACTGTGCGAGAGGCGGGGGACACCCTGGACAGGTGTCCAATCCATCACAGGGACAAATGAGACAAACACCCATTCACTCTCTCTCACCTAGAGACAATTTAGAGTTACCAATCAGCCTAACATGCATGATTTTGGTTTGTGGGAGGAAACTGGAGCACCAGGAGGAAACCCACACAGCACGGAGAGAACATGCAAACTCCACCCAGAAAGGTCCTGGATTTGAACCAGTGACCTTCTTGCTGAGAGGCAACAGCTCTACAAACTGAGCCACCGTGCCGCTCTACCTTTCAACCCAGCTCCCCATAATATGTTCTCAGGCCTGAACCTGTCCGTGGTCCGGCAGCGGTGTGTGCAGCATGAGGATTACCATAAATTTTAGAAGAGCTGCACCACCTAAAATAAGTTACCATAACGCCAAGAAACGTTGCACCATTTAAAATAACTACTAATCTTCATAGAAAAGCTGTGCCATGCAAGCTTTCAGACTAAAAGTACCAAATGCCGAGATGACATAAAACATTTTTAGGTCCCTGAATAATTTTTGGACCAATTTCTTGAGTCTTTTAGTTTTTTTAACAAATGAAGAAAATCATGAAATGAGTCTTTGTTATGCTTCACGTGTTGAAATGACACAAATGAATCATGAATATGTACTTTGTATGTTGTATTTACTGAATCGCTGAGTAAACACTGAATATTTAATTATGGCACATAATTGAATTCATGAGTTCATGAATTGAGTTCATTTTATTGTCATCTGTTTACATCACTACAGTCAGAAACAGAGAGGGGAAAAGGACAAAAGAAGGAAAAATCAGAAGGAGAGGGAGAGGATGAAGAGGAGGACAAGGAGGAAGAGGAGGAAAAGGAAAACCAACTGGAGGAGCAAGGTCCGAGTGTCCAGAACCTGGACTTCTGGCCCAAACTCATCACGCTCATCGTTTCCATCATTGAGGAGGACAAGAACTCGTACACGGCTGTCATCAACCAGTCAGTAAAGCTTCTTATATCAAGAAATATCATTCATTTGTTTGATGAACTTTTGATCTGCTCAAGATCATTTCATGAAACTTTATCCTCATATGCATCATCACTAGGCAGAGTGTCACATGCGCTTTTCTCCCCCTAGCTCTAATATCAAGGTCAAAAACCAAGGTCAAAGTTTTTTTTTACAAGTCTCTGCTTGTCTGGACCATTGCTATAGATTGCTGTGTTTGTTGACCGGCGTACATCGTACCGTATGTGGTACTCTTGTTTTATCATAAGTGCCTTTAATGTTATCTTTCATTTTCTTACCTTATAATCATGATGCATGTTGGTAGAAGCAGGTGGATGCTGAACCCTCTCCTCCTCCTCCTCACAGGTTTCCTCAGGAGCTGAATGTGGGGAAAGTCAGCGCTGAGGTCCTGTGGACCCTCTTTGCTCAGGACATGAAATACGCTCTGGAGGGTAAGATCCTGTGTCCATCAGAGGGTGGGATACCTGAGTGTGCGTGCATGCGTGCTTGTGTCAACCACACCTTCATTTCATGGCGCCATCAGGTCTTTATTTTTATCATTGCCGTTCATCTTTACTTCCAGTTTTGGATGAAATTGATCACAATCGCTGGAACAACAGTGAGATTAGCGACTAACGTAGAAAATAGCTAAATGTTGATATACATACCATACCACTTTATTTATAGAGCACTTAAAACAGCTACAAGGCCAACCAAAGTGCTGTACAGACAGAACAACAGGTAACACACAAAGCAAAATACAAAATGAAGTAAATCAGAATATAGACATAAAAACGATGCAGATAATGACGACAAACCAGTGTGGAGCATACAGGATCAAAACACAGATCATCTGGTGTTGAAAGATACTGAATAGTAGTGAGTTTTTAAACTGGACTTGAAAACCGAGAGGAAGGGGGCCAGTCTGACAAGCAGAGGTAACTCGTTCCAAAGTCTTGGTCCTGCTACAGAGAAGGCCCTGTCACCTCTGCACTTAAGACGAGTTCCTGGAACTGTGAGGAGCAACTGGTCCGCTGACCTCAGGGAACGTGGTGGGACATACGGTTGTAGCAGATCAGAGAGATGGGGGGGGGGGGGGGGGTCAAAACTGTTCAGTGATTTGTAAACATACATCAGTATTTTGAACTGGATTCAAAAGTGAACCGGTAACCAGTGCAGGGAGGCCAAAACTGATGTAATGTGCTCTCTTTTGCCTGTACTGGTTAAAAATGGGGCTGCTGCATTCTGGACCAGTTGTAGTCGTGCAATGGAGGTCTGACTGATACCAAACAGGAGTGAATTGCAGTAATCAAGCGTAGATGTAATGAATGCATGTATTACTGTCTCCAGGTTCTTTTTGGACAATATGGGCTTCAGTTTAGACAGCCGCCTCAGTTTATTAGGATGGACAGAAGAGCAGAGTCAGCGACAAGAAGAAGGTCATTAGTTATTTTTATTAGAGCTGTTTCGGTGCTATGGTGGGGGCGACAACCAGATTGAAACTCTTCATAAATGTTATTGTTGGATAGGTGAGAGTGAAGTTGACTAGCAATGACTTTTTCAAGAACCTTGGAAATAATAATAAATCTACAGTGTTTGGCAAATAAAAGTCAAGATAATTTTAATACATCTTTATTGTCATTTAATGAGATGGTTGAATCCAAGGTGGCAGCATGTCAATTGTTTGCTCTGAGCTTCTTCTTTTATCTTCTTAACTTTTGTTTTTAAATTCAGTTTTAATTTATTTTTTCAATCAATTTTTAATGTTATTTTGTGCTCTATGCATATGCTTAATGGTAATACTAAAATCAAAAGTAATGAATAACTGAAGATGGGCCTTTCTTCAACCTGGAGCTGTTTGCTGAGTAGCACCATTTTAAAGTCTCTGGTGTTTGCTGAAGCTCAGTTGGACTATCTTGGTGCCCAAGCCTCACTCAAACCACCTTCCCTACTCCACAGCCTGAGGCCTACTCCATCCGTCCTGCTCAATCGACCAAGGCCTGCTAAATTTGCTGCCATTGATCTGCAGCCTGAGTGGAGGCCTGCTCTGTCTACCCTGTCCCACAACTTGAGGCTCGGATCATCTGTCCTGCTCTGCAGCCCGCTGTATCCACCCAGTGCTGCTGCATTCTTTGGTTGCTCCACTCTGAATCTGATTGTTCTACTCCCTGGGATCTGTTTCACCTGCCCTGAGTGATGAAGCTACTTTTCACCAGCCTTGCAGCAGATAGCCTCCATTCAACTCTGCAGTAGGTGGCCTTCAGCATCCTTTGAGCAGCTAACTCCCACCAGTCTGTGGTTGCAAGCTGCATTCTGCTGCTGTTTTCATCATAGATCATCTAGGCTACATTGAGGCCTTCTGTGAGGATCTTCAACACAATACTGAGGCCTGTGCTATTGACAGAGCATTCTCTATCAGCCAACCCTCACAATACGTTTGGGTCTGCCAGGTCTGACCGGCATCCTCCCCCACCATCGGAGCCAACTCACAACCAAGTAGTGATCAGTGGACAGCTCCGCCCCTCTCTTCACCCGAGTGTACAAAACATGTGGCCGCAGATCAGATGAGACAATGACAAAGTCGATCATCGAACTGCGGCCTAGGGTGTCCTGGTTCCAAGAGCACATATGGAGACCCTTATGCCTGAACAAGGTGTTCGTTATTGACAATCCATGACGAGCACAGAAGTCCAACAACAGAACACCACTCTGGTTCAGATCAGGGGGGCCTTTCCTCCCAACCACACCCCTCCAGGTCTCACTGTCATTGCCCACATGAGCATTGAAGTCCCCCAGCAGAACAAGGGAGTCCCCAGAAGGTGCACTTTCCAGTACCCCTTCCAAGGACTCCAGAAAGGGTGGATAATCCAAACTGCCGTTTGGTGCATAAGCACAAACGACAATCAGAACCCGTCCCCCCACATGTAGGCGGAGGGAGGCCACCCTCTCATTCACTGGGGTGAACCCAAACACACAGGCACCAAGTTGGGGGGCAATAAGTACGCCCACTCCTGCACGGCACCTCTCACCAGGGGCAACACCAGAGTGGAAGAGTGTCCAGCCCCTCTCAAGGAAACTGGTTCCAGAGCCAGAGCCATGCGTAGAGGTGAGTCCGACTATTTCTAGCTGGAACCTCTCAGCCTCACACACCAGCTCAGGCTCCTTCCCCACCAGTGAGGCGACATTCCACGTCCCAATAGCCAGCTTCTGTAGCCGAGGATCAGATCGCCAGGGTCCCCGCCCTCGGCCACCACCCATCCCACATTGCACCCGACCCCTTTGGCCCCTCCCACAGGTGGTGAGCCCATGGGAAGGGGGACCCACGTCTCCTCTTCGGGCTGTGCCCGGCCGAGCTCCATGGGTAAAAGCCCGGCCACCAGGCGCTCGCCCGCATGCCCCACCTCCAGGCCTGGCTCCAGAGTGGGGCCCAGGTGACCCACGTCCGGGCAAGGGAACAAAAAAAGAAATTATTTGATTAGTTGAGTGGACTTGGTCAGAGTAGTTTTCCCCCATCAAAACTAAAATCAAGAGATGAGAGCACACAATTTATGTCACCACCAATTATAAGTTTATGTGTTGGCATTTTTGGCATATGTGAGAAGAGGTTACTAAAAAATGTAGAATCATCCCAATAATAAAATACCTTTATTTTACCAGGAAGAAATCCATTGAGATCATTAGTCTCTTTTACAAGGATGTCCTGGACAATTAGGAGCATACACCAAAACCAAGATCACTGGCAGCATGTACAACTTCCCCACCATCACAACATACCGCCCAGCATTATCAGCATGCACACTCGAGACTGTAATTTGCACCTGTTTACCAACTATAATATCTTGACTTGTGTTGGAAATTAGACTGAAACACTTGACCAGACCATTTTTTAACAAAGTTTCCACTATCAGCAGAATGCACATGGGTCTCCTGTAAAAAGGCATCAGTGTTCATCTGCTTCAAGTGTGAAATAATTTTCTGAAATTTAACTGGACAGCCACTAGAGTGGCCAACGTCCTTAACGTTGGTCATAATTAAACAGCAGGAAATAAATTACATACAGAATATGTATGAATGTGTATGGTACATGTCTCTCTTGAAAATGAGTTCTTGTTTTATGCGGTAGAACTTTAGAAAAAGGTGGAACCAAACATAAGGTGAAACAAAACTTAGAGGATGAATTTGTGAAGATTTTCTTTTGTTGTTTTTTAGTGACTGTAGTTAAATAACTCTGTTGTAGTTTTTTATAGTATTCCACCCTTCTGAGATACGATGCATGTGTTTGTTTGTTTGTTTGTTTGTTTCCATGCCATGTCTGATTAAGTAATTCGGTCTGAGTGAAAGATTTGTGGTTTAAAACAACCTTTTTAGTTCTACAAACTGTTGACTGATGGAAGGCTTCAGGTTGTTCAGCAGAAGGTCATCGTTGTTTGTGTTTGTTGTGTTTTATGGTTGTTTTTGTGTGTTTGTTTTCAGATCATGAAAAGCATCAACTCTGTAAGTCTGCTGACTACATGAACCTGCACTTTAAAGTCAAGTGGCTGTACAACGAGTACGTGAGGGAGCTGCCGTCGTCCGCTGATGTTGTTCCTGAATACCCTGCGTAAGAAAAATCGTTCGATCATCGTTTACTTCCTGTCTCCTCCAACAACAAGTGTCTGTTAAATCGCTGCATGCTGAACTCTTTGGGTTCAGATTGTATTATTAGGTTGCAGAAAGTGTGCGATTGTGTTACGTCCTTCCTGTGAGAGTAACAACTCTGTTCACCTGAACATGTTCTTTCATTTTAATAAGCTGCTCTTCCCAAAACCAATCCGTCCTGCAAACAGCTAAACAGCACAGATGCAGTACCGGCTGAAAGAGTCATTTCTTTGTTAAATTAACTTCATTAATAGTGTTTTTTTAATCATTAAAAGTTTTTTATTTGTCCATCCTTCACCTTTAGGTATCATCCTATGTGGAAACCCTGAGGTGGTGGTGTGTGTGTGTGTGGGGGGGGGGGTCCTCTATACCCCCACAGTTCTGTAAAAAGGAAGCTTGACACAACCTGTTCTTATTGTTTATATGGTTATTATTTAAAACTCCCTGTATACTGTGTCATTGTCCCCGCCCCCCCCCCCCCCCCCCCCCCAATTATGAGGTGGAATTTCTGCTCTTGGGCATGAGGGGTCATGGTTGGATCCAGTATTTGACCTGTTTTGTGAGGAGTATATTGAGCTAGGCAAATCAAACGATTATGTTTTGTGAGTTACAATAAATCTTTTGACAGAGAAGAAGATCAACGAAAGGCGGCTCAACATTACTGACCAGCACCACACAGGCACTGTGCAAGGCAGCCATGAGTATGGTACTGGTCGATACTAACTTCAGCTACAGTTGTCATGCATCCAACACTGTGAAGCCAATGCACTGATAGAAAGCAACCCCCCTTTAAAACTGTGAAGAAGAGAAATCAGCAATCTTTGCTTTGCTGATGATACAGACCTTATGACTGGATCAACCAATGATCATTTACCAATGGTCGTTCAAGCAAAGAACCTTTGTGAGTTGTCGTCATGGCATGGAGATCAGTCTGGAGAACAAGACCACGGTTTCTGGTAAACATGAGCCTCATAACAAACATCAGCGAGACACAACCTCAGGCCTTTGTTCACGCCAGAGAGCAACTTGGTTAAAGAGGTCGAGTGCAGCTAAAGCTGCTAGAGAACTAGCTAGACTTGTTTGGAAGGACAGATTAGTGTTGCTGACTGGCTACCAGAATCAGACTCCTACATGCACTTGAGTTGTCAGCCTTTTATGCTGCAGAAACCCGGAACAGGTTTTGAACTGGAACCTGGAACTGCAGAAACTTTGAACGCTGAGATATAGAGAAGAATATATGCATTTACTATTGATGCCTGCTTTAGGTCCGCTGGTCCTGTCACACTACAAATGCTGCGGTCCATGTTCTCAAGAAGAAGTTCAAGTGGTTTGCCCACGTAGTGAGGGCCAAGGGAACTCTGTCGAACATGATGTTTCTGCTGATCTATTTCATGTTGATGTGTTCATCAGCTCACACAGACTCATGTTCGTGCTGCTGTTCGGCGTAATGTTTGTTTTTATGCTGTTAATGCTTAGAGTATATTTAATTAACATTTTTTTATCCAACAATTTTCAGTCAGGTCATCTGGACAGTTTCTTTTTTTGCTGAAGCGTTTCACCTTCTATCCAGAAGGCTTCATCAGTCAAGGAAACACACAACACAACATTTTTCTTTGTTCATATCTTTGATCTTATTACTGTTTTTCTTTTACATTTTATTGTTGGATGTAACTGGGACCCTGTGGACATAATTTTGTTCCACCACGTGCGAATGACAAATAAAGAACCTTGAATCCTTAAATGATCCTTCAAGGAAAAGCTGAAGGACTCCATAAAGACAGCATCCACTTGTCAATGAGCAGAAGCCATTTGTACACTTTTCATGTACCAGCATTGCTGAGGGTTGCTGGTGACTGATGTTTGTACAGCTCTCAGGCTAAAGGGACTGATGATAATGATCCTACTTTTGTTACCTGCAGTTGGAGAACAGATATGAAGACCACGAGGAGGGAAACATGTCAGGAGACAGAGGGAGAAGAGGAAAGTGAAGAATGTAGGACTGAGGGTTGCAACTCTAAATGTGGGGACAAAGACAGGCAAAGGTAGAGAGCTGGCTGACATGATGCTGAGAAAGAAGGTAGATGTTTTATGTGTCCAATGACACGAACCAGGGTTTTTGGATTCTTAATATACAAGCCAGACACAGGAGTGCAAAAACAAGTACAGTTTTTATTTATTATAGGCTGTGGGTGCAAAATCAGGATCAGCTGAGTTGACAGTCTGCACAGGCAGATGGATGGTGAGAGTCACCTGTCAAGACTGCAGCAATGACGTCACTGATCCTTTGCAGAGCAGCTGCAATAACGTGGTTTGAGGGGCAAATCCAATAACGGAGTCCGGTTGTCAGAGCAGGGGTCATGAACAGGAAGGCAGAGGTCCAGATACAAAATCCAAAAATGTAATCAGTGAAGCGTGGTCTAGTAGAGGAAACAGGGTCCGTTACCATGGCCAGAGTGGCAAACAAATCCAAGAGGGGTAGGCAACGAGAGGAGTCAAAAAACAGGCGAGGGTTCAAGGCAAGACAAGGCAAGGATACAAGATACTATGATTGAAGGCTTCACTATCGGGGACCATGAGTGGTGCAATAATACGGCACCGGTGGAGAGGGAGAAAGGAGTTTATAAAGGGTGCAGAGCAGGTGAAACAGATGAGCTGAACAGGTGAGTGGAATCAGGGCTGATTGCTGTGATAGGCTGATGGGGTGTGGTGAACTGTTAACTGACAGGAGCAAATGTGAGCAATGACAGGAGCTGAGGGATAAACAAAACATGAAGGGGAGGGGCAGAAAACATGGCATGTCATGAAGGGGCAGGGAAGTGAGCAGATGGGGGGCCAGTGGGGGCCGCTGATCATGACATCCAAGAGACCAAGTGGAAGGGCAGCAAGGCTCGCAGCATTGGAGCAGGGTTCAAACTGTTTTACCATGGTGTGGATTGAAAGAGACATGGAGTAGGGGTGGTCCTGAAGGAGGAGTTGGTAAAGAATATAGTAGAGGTGAAGAGAGTGTCAGATAGGGTGATGTGTCTGAAGGTAGAAGTAGAAGGTCTGATGCTAAATGTTGTCAGTGGTTATGCTCCACAGGTTGGATGTGATGTGGAGGAGAAAGATACATTTTGTAAAGATCTGGATGAAGTGATAGAGAGTATTCCCAGGGAGGAGAGGGTGGTGATGGAGCAGACCTGAATGGACATGTTGGTGAAGGAAACAGAGGATGAGGAAGTGATGGGTAGATTTGGTGACAAGGAAAGAAACCAGGAAGGACAGATGGTGCTGGATTTTACCAAGAGAATGGAAATGGCTGTAGTCAACACTTATTTCCAAAAGAGGGAGGAGCATAGAGTGACCTATAAGAGTGGAGGAAGGAGTACGCAGGTCGACTACATTCTGTGTAGAAGAGGAAACCTGAGGGAGATTGGAGACTGTAAGGTTGTGGCAGAGGAGAGCGTGGCCAGACAGCATCGGATGGTTGTGTGTAGAATGACTGTTGTTGTGAAGAAGAGAAAAAGAGTCAAATCAGAGAAGAAGACCAAATGGTGGAAGATGAAGAAGGAAGAATGTTGTGATAAATTCAGAGAGGAGCTGTTGAAGGCTCTGGGTGGTAAGAAAGAGCTTCCAGATGACTGGACTACTACAGCAACAGTAATTAGAGAGACAGGTAGGAAGGTACTTGGTGTGTCATCTGGACAGAGAATGGATGATCAGGAAACCTGGTGGTGGAACAGTGAAGTGCAGGAAGATGTTCAAAGAAAGAGGTTAGTCAAGAAGAAATATGACAGAGAGAGGACTGAAGAGAGGAGACAGGAATATAAGGAGATGGGATGTAGAGCAAAGAGGGAGGTAGCTAAGGCAAAGCAGAGGGCGTACGATGAGTTGTATGGGAGACTGGACACTAAAGAGGGCGAGAAGGACTTGTATCGATTGAAGAGACAGAGGGATCAGGCTGGAAAGGATGTGCAGCAGGTTAGGCTTGTTAAAGGTAGGAATGGTAATGTTCTAACGAGTGAGGAGAGTGTGATGGGAAGATGGAAGGAGTACTTTTAGGAGCTAATGAATGAAGAGAATGAAAGAGAAAGAAGAGTAGAGGTCATAGAAAAAAAACTGTGGACTGATTTCTAGATTGGACCATTAATTTTATGTTATGTTTTCATTTTTACTTTATTTTACTTTATTATTATTCGCACCTTTATGTCGAAGCAAATTCCTAGTTTGTGAACCTCGTTCATTGACATGGCAATAATAAACTGATTCTGATAATTGTCAACAACCCGGATGTCCAACTGAATCAGCTAAGTTTATAGAGAGAAGACCTGCTCCATTTAAGGTAGGATGGATTCCTTCTCTCCACATCAGACAGGGTTTTCTCCAAAATGCACTTCAGTTGTCTACAAATCCTACGCTGTTTTCAGAACACCACCTGGACGCCCAACAGTTCAAAGTATGGTATGGTATAAAGTTTATTCATTTAAAAAAAGTACAAAACAATTCCATAACAATATAAAAAGATACAAAAGAGATTTAAAATGAAAGGTGCAGAAAGAATAAAAAATCTTATTATATCTGCCCCTTTTTTCAAACAATTATTTCAATCATAATAATTTTCAAGTAACAGAACAAAATGAATAACTTTATAATTTTTCTAATTCTAATACAAAACACACACTAAGCTACTTCATATATACTTTTTTAACAATTCAGCTTTGATCTTTTTCTTAAATGTGCACATTGACTTGGCATTTTTCACATCACTCTCTAGAACATTCCACAATCCAACTCCTTGGATTGAGGTAGACCTTCCCTTCAGACTAGTTCTGAATGTTGGTTTGACAAATATCTCTATCCCCTTAAGATTGTAACAACTTTGTCTTTTAACAACATTTCTTTGGATATTTAATGGTAATGTGTTATTTTGAGCCCTATACATAACTGATAAAATACTATAATCTACCAAATCATGGAACTTCAATAAGTTCAGTTGATAAAATAATGTGCTTGATGGGTGACAGTAATGCTTTCTGGTGATAATTCTTACAGCTCTTTTCTGTAAAATAAAAATAGGTTTTGTAAATGTTTTACACGCTTTCCCCCAAACATCAATGCAATAGATTAAATGTGGAACAATGATTGTGTTATACAACATGTACAGAGCTTTATCATTTAATAATTCCCTGACTTTGTATAGTACTGCAATACATTTAGATATTTTTGTTCTTACAGAATTTATGTGATTTTTCCATGTGAGCTGTTCATCAATGATTACACCCAAAAATTTCATCTCATTAACTCTACAAATCTCAACACCCTCAATTTTAAATGGATCATCAACAGTTCTCTTTTTGTTACTAAATATCATGTATTTAGTTTCATCTAAATTTAATGATAATTTATTAAGTTTAAACCAAGTTTGTATTTTATCAAATTCTGTCTTCATCAATTCCAACATCCGTTTTACATCTTTACCCAAACAAAAAAATGTGGTGTCATCTGCAAAAAGGACACATTTGAGGAGTCCTGATACATTCACTAAGTCATTCACATATAAAATAAATAACTTTGGTCCAAGTACAGAGCCTTGAGGAACTCCACAAGTGATATTGCACAGGTCAGATCTTACACCATTTATTTGTACAAACTGTTTCCTATCTTTTAAATAGCTAGATACCCAGTGTAATGCTGGTGCTCTTATACCATATTTATTTAATTTTTCAAGGAGAATAGTGTGGTCAATAGTATCAAATGCTTTTTTAAAATCAACAAAAATACTAACACAATACTGTTTTTGATCGACAGCAGTAGTTATTTGTTCTATTATTTCCATGAGAGCCATTGATGTAGAGTTTTTTGCTCTAAACCCATACTGACTGCTACTTAGAATGTTTTGTTTAGTAATAAATTTATCTAATCTGGTCACAAACAGTTTTTCTAGAATTTTTGAGAACTGTGGTAATAAGGATATTGGTCTATAATTATTGAACACACATTTATCACCATTTTTAAAGAGAGGAACTACCTTAGCTACTTTCATATTGTCTGGAAATATTCCTTTTGAAAATGATAAATTACAAATATATGTAAACGGCTCGATAACATAACTCATTATGTCCTTTACAAACATCATATCCATGTCCACCCAGTCTTTTGATCTCTTATCTGTAAGATTTTTTACTACATTCATTATTTCTTCTTTGTCAGTTCCATTAAGAAAAATACTGTTGTCACAACTTATAACTGAATGGTTCACATTATTGTCTACTTTTGGTATTTTAGCAGCAAGGCTTGATCCAACGTTCACAAAATGATGATTAAATCCATTTACAATTTCATTTTCATCATGATTTCATCATCATCCTTCAAAAAATATTGTGAAATACCTGTTTTTGCTTTATGACTTTTCAGAACACTATTTATTACTTGCCATGTAGCTTTCATATCACCATTACTTTTATTTAATAAATCACTATAATATTCCTTCTTGTGTTTCCTTATAATCCCTACTAATTTATTTTTATACTTCTTATATTTCTTTTCGGCCTCTTGTGTTCTCAATTTCAAGAAACATGTATACAAATAATTATTTTTTTACAAGCATTTCTCAACCCTTTCATCATCCATGGTTGGTCAACAACATTTCTCTTTGTACAATTATTTTGCACACAATTCTTTTCATACAGAGCTCCTAAAATATTCATAAACTCATCATATGATCTGTTCACATCATCAACATACACGTCTTTCCAGCTTTGTTTATGTAAATCATCTTTTAATTTGTCCATTGCTTTTTTTGATGTGTTTATTGTTTTTTTCTTAATTGTAATTTCTTTTGTAATGCTTTGATCATTTTTATAAATCATGAAAACTGGTAAATGATCACTCAAATCACTCATTAAAATACCTCCCATCACATCCCCATTTGTTACATTTGTGAAAATATTATCGATTATTGTAGCACTATGAGTTGTAATTCTTGTTGGTTTTGATATTAACGGATAAAGATTTAAACTATACAATGAATTTGTAAATGTACTGATGTTATTTGAATCTGTTTTATTTCCCAGGTCAATATTAAAATCTCCACACAAAAAATGCTTTTATTAAAACTCTTGTCCAATAGTTGTACGATTTTATCAGTGAATATTTCTATATTTGATCCTGGAGATCGATATGCACAACTTATCAATATGTTTTTATCATTCTTGTTTATTATTTCTATTGTTATTATTTCCATGACTTTGATTCCAAAGTCAAAATACGGCTAAACGTGTCATCACTGGATAGGTTGGGGAGGGGGCAGGAGAAAACTACGAAGTCAGACATGGACTTTGTGAAGTTATACACTGAAGCAACATTAATTTTAGTGATCTCTGATTTGCGTAGCTGAGTTTCATTTTCGCCGCCATGAATAATAATTTTACTGTATTTCACCTTAGCTTTAGCCAGTAGTTTCAGGTGGGATTCAATGTCACCTGCTCTGGCCCCTGGAATGATTTTTTACTGAGGTTTGAGTTGCAGGTGCCATGTTTCAGACTATGGAGCTGGTAACAACGAGAGTCTGCTCCTCGGCGGGCGTCTCACTAAGCACGGAAAACAGATTTGAAAGTTGAACCAAGTGGTGGTTGACCAAGGGCTTAGTTTTAGCATTATTTTTTCTATGGACTGTCACCCAGTGGGCCTGAGGTTCAGGGCAACTAAGTGGAGGAAACTGGTTTGAAATGTGGTTTTGAACAGGACAGTGGTGAGATGTGCTGTAGGAGTGACCAATAGCTTCAAGGTGGAGGTGGGAGTGCATCAAGGATCAGCTCTGAGCCCCTTCTTGTTTACTCTGGTGATGGACCGACTAACAGATGAGGTCAGGCAGGAATCAAGTGGACTATGATGTTTGCAGATGACATTGTGATCTGTTGTGAGAGCAGGGAACAGGTGGAGGAGAACTTGGAGAGGTGGAGGTATGCACTTGAAAGAAGAGGAATGAAAGTCAGCCGTAGTAAGACAGAGTCCATGTGTGTGAATAAGAGGGAGGAGGTGGAACAGTGAGGCTACAAGGAGCAGAGGTCACAAAGGTGCAGGACCTCAAGGACTTGGGGTCCACTGTCCAGGAACATGGGGAGTGTGTTAAAGAGGTGAAGAAGAGAGTCCAGGCAGGATGGAGTGATGGAGAAAAGTTTCAGGAGTGATTTGTGACAAAAAGGGTGTCAGCAAAGGTCAAAGGAAAAGTTTACAAGACAGTGGTGAGACCAGCTGTGTTGTATGGTCTGGAGACAGAGACATGGACAAAAAGACAGGAGACAGAACTGGAAGTGTCAGAAATGAAGATGTTGAGGTTCTCCTTAGGAGAGACAAGGATGGAGAAGATCAGGAATGAGATGATCAGAGGTACAGCACAGGTTGAACAACTGGTAGATAAAGTTAGAGAGGACACACTGAGATGGTTTGGACATGTCCAGAGGAGAGACAGTGGTTTGGACATGTCCAGATGAGGGACAGTGGTTTGGACATGTCCAGAGGAGGGACAGTGGTTTGGACATGTCCAGAGGAGGGACAGTGGGTATATTGGTAGAAGGATGTTAGAAATGCAGCTGCAGGAAAAAGACAGAGGAGACATATGGATGCAGTTAGAGAGGACATGGAGGTAGTGGAGTGAGGACAGAGGACAGAGTGAGATGGAGGAGGATTTGCTGTGGAGACACCTGAAGAGGAAAAAGAAGAAAAAGAAATGTTCAGGTTTAACAGTCACACTGATGATGAAGAACTCGTCAAACTTCTTTCACTCTGCGTATCTTCAGTTCTGAAGAGAACTCCAGCAAAGTTGAATCGATAATACAATAATAAAAAATCACCAGGTGGCTGCTGAGGTGGGCAACACAATAATGTTCCTGGCCTCAAATACACTTGTGCCCTCTGTACTCAACAACAAGCTTTAATTTTCAAGGTTCGTCCTGACAGATGCTGCTGCACAGCTCCCTGATGAAAACCACTCAGAACTCTGCAGAGTTCAAGTCTCCTACTAGTTTCCAACAGTCAAAGCCCAGTGAGATACTGGCTTACAAAAATAAATAATAATACTAATAATGATAGTGTTATGTATTGTCATCATTGTATGTTCCCATACAATGATGAAATTGGCTCTTGGCTTTTAACCCATCCACCACCAGGTGGAGCAGTGAGCAGCTGTGGAAAGCGCCCAGGGAGCAACTGGGGATAATGTGTCCTGCTCAGAGACACCATGGGATGTGCAATGACCGGAGATCGACCCTGGGACCTTCAGGTCCCGAGTCAACTGCCCTGCCCCTACACACTTTCTTCTGAAAATGTTCAGGTTAAAAGCAACTAAAGTCCAAATAAAAACTGAAGCAGCTTCAGAAAAGTTGAAGAATTGAGCAATTTAAAGAACCAATGTGGATGCTTGGAAGCAAAATGATAAAAAATTCTGTTAAAAAAAAATGGAGGATGGCTCAAGACTTACGCACAGTCAAATGGGCCAAAAATCATGTTATGTATCAAAGGAAACCTAAATGTTGGTTTGGTCTTGTTGCTGCAGGTGGTTTGTCCAGTTCGTCCTCGCCTGGTTGGCTGAGAACGAGGACGTGTCCACAGACTTCATGCACGCAGCGCTGGACAGAGACAAGAGGGAGGGGGTCAGTGAGACATTTGTTTCCTGGAGCTTCACAGAGCTCCTTCATCGTCGCTCCCTGCTGAAGCTGAAGCAGGCTTCATGTTTTTGCTTTGTCTTTGTCTGTCTGTTGTGTTAGCAAAATATCTTTTGAACCAGTGGCTGTATGTTAGTAAAACTCACAGAAAGTAATCACATGATGTGTTTTTATTACTGACTACTTTTGTAATCAGTCCAATGTAAGATGGCCGCCACAGCTAATGATCATTAGCCAACACAAAAATAGCTAAAACTCTGTGAGTTTACTCAACAATTAGCTAAAACATTCCTTCCAGGATTTTCTTTGTCTTTACCAAAAGATAACGTTTCCAGTGGTTCCCAACACTGGTTCCTGAGGAACACCATCCTGCATGTTTTAGTTGTTTCTTTGCTCAGGTGTGTTGGAGCAAAGAAACAACTAAAATATGCAGGATGGTGTTCCTCAGGGACCAGTGTTGGGAACCACTGGTTTAGGCTACATTCACGCTGCAGGCTAACGTCCCCACGTCAGATTTTTGTAATTTTTTAAAACTGACCCGGGTCTTTTTCATCTGTGCTGCTGACCCAGAGCCGTGTGTGATGTTTTCAGAACGACCTCTGTCTGAACGCTGATGTTTCATTTCATTCCGCTCTGACATCGGACAGGTGGGGGCGAGCGCATCAATACCATGGTGTTGCCTCGACCTTGAGTACGTCGCTCCTGTTCCAAAAAGGCAAACTAAGGAGCCGTCATGAACTCTGGACCAAACATTCAAGAACAATTTCAGACGCACACATGCTAACATGTGTAGCATCCATATTTACACATCGTGCTGCGTGTGACGCCCCGTCTTCTTCTGGGCCTGCGGTCGCCTCAGAACTGCAAACGGGTCACGCTGCCATCTGATGGAGGTCGTATTTCACTGAGAATAAGAACGACCACACAAAACAAGAGCAGATCAAAACATGCGTCTGCTGAAGCAGATTTCAAAGAGACCAATATTTCTGAAGAAATTAGTGAGATTTGTCATGAGATCAATATCTTTTATTTGAAAGATTTTTTTAAAGATTATGAAATAAAATGTCTTCTCCTGATACAGCGGAACATTTTGATGTGCGTGGCGTCTGACACAGCAGAATGTGGATCACATGGTCTAAAAACAGGAGACTGCGCTGACTCAGCGATGAACAACGGGTGGATTGTTACTCGTCTGTCTTCTCGTCCTTCCAGTTCCAGCAGACGTCTGAGCACGCTCTGTTCTCCAGCTCCGTGGTGGACATCTTCACTCAGCTCAACCAGAGCTTTGAGATCATCAAGAGACTGGAGTGTCCCGATCCCACCGTGGTGGCCCAGTACAACCGACGCTTCGCCAAGGTGAGTCGACTGACCTACATGTCTGCATCAGTTCTGTTTCTCCACTGACAACCTGACAGTTCGTTTATTCAACAGTTAATGGTCAACTTTATTTCATACTGGTCAAAGGTTTCATACTGGTCAAAGGTCCATCTCATCATCTGCTGCTTGTCTCTGGCTGGGTCCAGCAGACAAACCTCTCCAGCTCGTCCTGAGGAATCTGAAGGAGTTTCCAGGCCAGAGATCTGGTCTATGATCCCTTTAATGGAGGGGTTCAAACTTTTTGGGTTCAGGGACCCCCTCATGACCCCCCTCATGACACCCCTTATGACCCCCTCATGACACCCCTCATGACCCCCCTCATGACACCCCTTATGACCCCCTCATGACACCCC